CGCGCTGTCGACGGGTTGCTCCGCGCAGATTGAGGGCGAGGCGCGAAGCCTGAGAAAGAAGTGTCGGTTTCTCACATCTGACGTATGCCTGACAGCGGGAGATTGGCTTACCGAGATGGAGGCCACCGCGAGAATGATGCTATCAGGAGAGCATGTCAGACTGCGCGCTCATCGCTGTACACCGTCGTACACTTACGGCACTCCCATGGCTTGGATCTCTCTGCGATTGAAGTGAATGGTGATCGCCAAGTTCAGCATGCTCGCAGCTAAAGTGTTGGGCCTACGTTGGCTATTGTATGCCACGAAAGAGAGATTTAGGCTCACAGAACATCCTAGGGGAGACTGATATCAACACAGTTTCAGATAGGGATGACGCAGCATCACGTCACCAGACATCGTTTCACTCACATGACGAAGTAAACAAGGCCATCCCTGACGAGCAGATACACAAGCGGGCTCAGCGTGCGTACTTGGAACCACTTGCCAAGGGGATCGTGTTTGGCCTTGACTAGCTCTGCTTTGAAGGCGTGGCTATTGACGAACTGGTGGACCATCAATACTAGATACGAGGCTACAATAGAGAGGTCAGTTTCAGAACAACTCAATATATGTGATATCATGTAGCTAGCATAAGTCAGCTTACTGGAGGTAGCGGAGATCACGATCCTAGTTACAGACGCAAACCGTTGAAGGGTAGTTAGTTGATGAACGTTGGATGGACATTGTAAGGCGTACCAAGCTGGTAAAGTGTGCTTGAGAGGGACCATAGCAAATGTGAAACACCCGGGGAGAGGAAACCCCGGAGGACGCGGTAAAACTGCTAAGGCATCAGAAAAACCTGCACAGCTCTTAAAGCGCTGAGTAAGACCTTTCTCAGACTTTTAAGAACAGATTCAGAGCTTTAAGACCATCCGGTAATCAGACGTCTGAGATGCACTTTAAGAACTTCATAGATGCATGGATTAAGAGATCTCAGAGCTTCGTAAGAGTTTTCAGAGGTTTCAGAGGTATGGCCGATGACGTTCAACAAGCGGGTATATTGCGCGCGCACGAGCATGTACATCATATGCAACATATTCTAAGGACTACTGGGAGGCTCGAAGAGCTTCGGCGCTGCACCCAGTCGATTGGGATTCGCGCCAATAGTCCTCTTTGCGACCGGGACCTCCCTCATATGTTGCATAGCAGCCGCCATGATATTCTCGAATCGGGAATCCTTCGCCAAAGCCCATGACACGTTACCTTGATACCACTCTGCAGTGAGATCGTGAGCGTTCTCCTTCGCCGAGAAATCCTTCTGCTCCACCCCATATGGCTTGTCATGTATATAGTATTCAAAGGCACGTTGGACCTGATGTGTATGACTGATGAGAATAGGGGCAGTAACGATGAGGACAGCAGCAAAAAAACGTACCGCGGCACATGAGAGCGCGAGAGCGCCAGCTGGATAGGCAGCGTCGGGCAAGACAGAGCCCGAAATCTTCACCAGGTGATATGCAAATGTCTTGAGTATGTACTTGGATTGAAACAGATCCTTCGCGGGGGCCTGAGTAACGCGTGAGATGTCACTGGCACTGGGGTGAACCGAGGGTGAAAACACTCACATTGGTTGTTTTTGGCTGCCCGTAATACGCCGCACCTGAAGCGAGCTGGCCCTCAAGCCACTTGATGAGCCCATTCTCCGAACGGTCGCGCTGCGTGAGAGAGTCGTTGTCGCGCCGCTCAACCATGGCATCACGAACCGCATTGTTCGCGATGCTCTGCACCTTGTTGTGCCATTCATAGAAACGTTGTCGACACTAAACAGATATCAGTGAGATAATTGTAGAAAGGACAGTGAAACCCCACGTATTTGTAGACAGTATCACTCCTCTTGATCTCTTGATTCTTGCGCGGGAAAATCCTGCTCTGGATATCTTGCAATAAGTCAAGGAATTGGTCGCGGTGGGTCGCATCGGGGTTCCAGACGTCCTCGCGGGTGCCATAGTACTCAATGATAGAGGGAATGATCTTCGACTGGACGACGGGCTTGATGTAGTCTGGGAGGGCACTGAACGACTTGTCTTTCTTGACCCCCTTTGTCCTCTTGGGGTTAGGGGTTACGGAAGGCTCGTCAGCATCACTCTCGCCAAGCAACCCAGCAGAGACTTTGATACCGAGCTATCAAACATGATTAGCATGGTTATGAGCATAGTTCAATATGAGTGTAGATGGGAGAACATACCTGTTTGGCTGCCGCTCTGGCCCCCGCCGCGGAACCCTGGATAGCGGCCTCCCGATTGACGTACACATCGCCATCTTCGAACCCGCCCAGTCCCGACTCATCGTCGAAGCCGATGGACTCTGAAGCGGGAGTACGAGTCCTAGAGGAGCTGACTTGAGATGTCTGGCAGGATGGCGTGTTGCTGGGCAGTTCCGTGGATTGGCCCACCCGTGACTGATGCTGAAGTTTGCGACGCCAACTCAATGTAAATGCGTCAGAGTCGGCTCCCAGCGGCTTGGATTGTGTTCTGTGCACCACAGGGGACTGCATCAGCAAAAGACTGTGCCTCGGTAAAGATGCCATTGGCGACAGTATGTGCCCGAGGACATGCCACAAGTGTGTGTTGCCAGGATGAGGAGATGACGACTCACCGGCCAGACAGGGGCGCAGACTTCGATGTGCCAGCAGACAAGCGCGTGGGAGTCGACAGCGCGACATCGAGACTAGCTCTCTGGGAAGAGACAGACAAGAGGACAGATTCACGGAGAACGGCCCTTTTCTCTGCAGCGGTGAGGGTCTAGGGAGGCGAGTGTGTACACACAGTGAGCGTGAGCAGAGAAACGAACTTCTCACGGCACTCACCTGCTTCCTGGGCGCTGGCACCACCTCCGATTCCTCCACAACCATGTCGGTTGGTCCCCCATGGCCGTCGTTCTGCAGCCCATCGATGGGGTTGTTCTGCTCGCGAACCCTGTGAGCAGACTTCAGTTTGTCTTGTGTACGTGGGAGCGCTCCAGCTGCTGGGTCCGCGACTGCCAGATTCAACACGTCAGCAGTGATACGCGGAGAACGGTGCATCGTTCATGACGAACAGCGTGTTCCACAGATGACTCGGAGATTATGGTGAGTTCTACGTACCGAACGTATCAGAAAGTTTTCTGTCTTGCTGAGCACGATTGTCTTCCAGGGCTGCAATCTTGGCGATTTGAGCAGCGTGAAGCTGTTGTTGACGCTCGACCTCGGCGGCTTTGGCGTTGTCAGCCGCCTGCTTCTTAGCCTTCTTATTGTTAACCTCTGTAGCAATCTCTTCTCTAGATCGTTTCGAAACTCCAACAGCCTTCGCGGGATGCTGGTTCTGGGAGGTCCGAGCCCGAAGGCCATAGCGTGGTTCGGCCAGCTGCTCTTCCGCTACTGCCTCGGACAACTGTAGAGGTATTTGGTGAGCACTATACTAGCTAAGAGGACTGTTAGGTGTCAGACAAAAAACTACCTGAGTCGAGTGAGCTATGCTGTTGTTGGGAACACCATTGAGCATTTCTCCAGGGACATCCAGATAGTGGTCATCTGTGGAGAGATTGGTTCCGGTGTGCGGTGTCGGAACTGTGGAAGGAGAGTTTGCGGTTTTCTGGTTGCCAGCACCGCCCCCCTTCGCCTTTGCGGCGGTCTTCTTGATCTTCTGGCCACGGGGCATGGGGATAGAGGAAGAGACGCGCAAGCCGCCGTTGTTGTGCGTTGGCACAAAGAGACAGAGGTCTGACTAAGTTTCCTTATCGAGCGCCCCTGTTGCGTACCTCTCTCTTCTCATTGTTGCTTTGGGGCCGCTCTTGGCCACACTTTCATGGCTCGCTTTTGCACTCTCTGTTCGCGTTCTTTTCCCACCACACGCGCATACATATGCCACCGCCGTAACGTGCATCGGCATCCCAAACCTCAACCAACACCAACCGCAAAACATTTCCATCCCCTGCTCACCGGTATGTTTTCATTTCGTTCTGATATCTCACAATGTCTCAGCTAGTCACAATCTAGCACGGCCATGCAATGCGCAAGGGGATTTTCTTCCACCCGGAGCCCCTCCCGCACCCAAGGAGGGTGCACAAGACTTTGGCCCATTCTGCGACCGCCCTTCATTCGAGTTTGCGGAGCTTGTTTTTGAGAAGATGCAGGTCTCCAAAGCTGACCTCAACCAGCTGCTGCATATTCTTGCCGCCAAGAATGTAGTCGATGGCCACGCCAACCACCCAGCAATCTTTGAGAACGCGGACGAGCTACTCGAGACAATCGATGCGATTCCGTTCGGCGACACTGTCTGGCGTGCTTACAAGGTACGATATACTGGTGCTATGGGTCCCGACTCTCCATCATGGATGCGCAAGACATACGTCATTTATCTGCGCAACTCCCTGGTCGTCGCTGAACAGCTCGCAGCAAGTGAAGATTTTGACGGTAAGTTTGACACACGGCCTGTCGCCGAATACAACGCCGATGGAGACCGGGTGTACTGCAATTTTATGTCGGGACAGTGGGCTCATAACGAAGCGGTGCGTGCCATGCTCTCACCTTTGCATCCGTAACTAATGGCAAGCGTTCTGTAGGACAAGATTTCTGAAGATCCCAACACTCATGGTGCCATGTTAGTGCCCATCATTCTGGGAGCTGATAAGACGACAGTCTCCGTCGCTACTGGCCATCAGGAATACCATCCCGTGTACATGTCCATCGGCAACATTCAAAACGACATGCGCCGAGCGCACCGCGACAGTGTGGTCCCAGTCGCATTCCTCGCCATTCCAAAGGGTAAGTACTGACCTTCCGTTGCCGTGGTTTCCCCAATGAGTTTGGCATCTTCCTGAACTACACATGCTTCAAATCCGAGTCTCACCTTGTGCATTGCAGCCGACCGTGAGGAGGCTGATACGGAGGCCTTCCGCATCTTTAAGAAGAAGCTGTACCACACGTCGCTAGTGCACCTACTGGAGCCCCTGCGTGCAGGAATGACAGCACCGCACATCCTGCGTTGTCCCGATGGGCACTTCCGGCGTGCCATTTTCGACATTGGGCCCTTCATCGCAGATTATCCTGAGCAAGTGTACCTGTCCGGGATCGTCTCTGGATGGTGCCCTAAGTATGTAAAGTACCGGCCATCACAGCCAGTTCCGATTTGTTCACCCTCAGCTATAGATGTCGCGCTTTCCCAGAAGACTTGTCTCACGAAGGCCCTCCCCGCTTCCGAGAACACACTGAGATGCTGCACGAAACCTTTGACGACAACATTCTGTGGGATGTATTTGGCCTGATACGTGATGTCAAGGTAAGTGTGTCTCTCGTCTGTGAGTTTCGTCACTCATCCCGACTCTTTTTAGCCGTTCACCTACTACTTCCCCCGCGCAGACATCCACGACCTGCTCTCCCCTGACATTCTTCACCAGCTCGTCAAGGGTACATTCAAAGACCACGTTGTTTCGTGGGTAGAAGATTATATCAAGCTCACGGCTGAAAGCGAACGTGAAGCCAGCCGGATCCTCGACGACATTGATCGCCGGTACGTACTCTCTGACTTACTCAACACATCAACAGTGATTTCAGCTCCGATTAGGCTGGCCGCTGTACCTCCCTTTCCAGGGCTCCGTCGGTTCCCTCAAGGCCGGAACTTCAAGCAATGGACGGGCAATGATTCAAAGGCACTCATGAAGGTATTGCTGGAGTCCCTCGTAATCACACTCTTGCACCCTTAAGAACCACCGTTTTTTAGATCTATCTGCCTGCAATTGCTGGCTATGTTCCTGACCAGATGGTTCAGTGCATTGCTGCACTGCTGGACTTCGCATATCTGGCGCGTCGTTCTTCCCACACGGGTGCCACCCTCGGCGCGATGAACGACATTCTGGGTCACTTTCACAACCTCCGCACCATCTTCGAAGAAGTGGGTGTTCGTCCTGAAGGCTTCTCGCTCCCCCGGCAACATTCCCTGGTCCACTACGTGCGAAGCATCAAGCTATTTGGGTCTCCCAATGGCCTGTGCTCCTCCATCACGGAGTCAAAGCACATTGACGCTGTCAAGCGTCCATGGCGGGCATCCAATCGCCGGGACGCCATTGGCCAGATTTTACGGACGCTCACTCGGCGTTCCAAGATGGCCGCCGCTCGCGTCGAATTTGGACGACGCGGTATGTTGCGCGGCGACGTCTTTACTGCCGCACTGCGCACTGCCGGCCATGACATCGAGTCAGACGATGAAGAGGAAGAAGATGAGGTCTTCCGTGACCTACAAGATGCCATGCAAGCCGCGGACGACGAAGCTGACTCAGATGTTACGCTGCCTGCACGTCCACGTAAGTTATCACACACCACTTTTCGGAACACCTTGCAGACTAACATCCTTTGACAGATGCCACAGAACGCATATATATTCTCGCAGAAACTCTCCACATACCGCGGCTCCATGAGTACATGCGCCGCTTCCTTTACGACCAGCTCGAACCCAACGCCCCCGTTGCGGGAGACATCGTTAACATCGAACAGTGCCCCGAGATCTCTCCACTCACCAGCATATCAGTATATCGGCATGCGAAGGCGACATTCTACGCACCAAGTGAACTTGCGGGACCAAACGGAATGCACCGGGAGATCATCCGGTGCAATCCACGCTGGTATGGGGACAAGGCGCGGTACGATACAGTTTTGGTGGAGACGGACTCAGATGCCATCGGCTTGGAAGCGAGCACAGTCGCCCGCCTGCGCGCATGCATTGCGTTTACTTACCAGAATGTTAGATATGAATGCGCTCTAGTCGAGTGGTTTGAGGGCGATGGGGACGCCCCAGATCCGGCGACAGGCATGTGGGTTGTTAGACCAGAGTTGGACGCTGCTGGGGAGCGTGTTTGGGGTATCATTCACATAGATTCCATCATTCGAGCCTGTCATCTTGTGGGAGTATACGGCAGGACAGCGCTTCCCACAGACTTCGATTACACCGACTCCCTTGATGCATTCCGTCGTTTCTACGTTAATTGGTACGCTGACTATCACTCTCATGAGATTCTAGTATGATTACATGTCCATAGATGTGTACTATACAACATGTACTTCTGCTTGAATCTGGCCCCGGAGCTGCTCCCAAGTTGTCGCCCGGAGTACTGGTTCTGAAAGCTCTTAGACCTCTGAGCGAGCGCTTTTAAGAGCCATAAGTAGTTAAGAGATTGTCAGTTTTACTGATGTCCGCGGCCATGACAAGCTCGCACCGCCGCTGGCGGAGCTCCTGGTAGGCGCCGAGAAAAGAGGGGACTTGGTCTATCGTGCTCAGATGAGAGAAAAGTGAGCCGAGCACAACTGCGTCCTCGATGGCCAGGCTTATCGAGTGGGTCCCTCCAGGCTAGAACATCCCAGAAGTGAGAGGTAATGAAGGTGGGCAGCAAAGGCTTACTCACGAAGGACGGGTGCGCCGCGTCGCCGAGCAGAACCATTCGGCCAGTGGAGTCCACCCATTCGACTGTGTTCTCATGATTCTTCCATTGCGTACGGATGAGGTTGGTGGTCAGCTTGAGCATCGTCTGGAATCTAGTATGGGGAGTATTAGAGCACATTACAAAAGGAACTAGGCTGCGAAACGCGTACGCTGGGCCGTAAGCGTCCGAAGTGCTGATACCGTCTATAGAACAGAGATCTTCCCAACTCTCTTCGCCGCCCTGAGGAAGCCTATCTAGTTTGTCCCAATAAAATAGATGGATCGCATATTGGGTTCTCGCCGCCTGCACGAGTGGAACGTGTACAAAGTCAGCAGGGACTACAAGACCACGCAGACACGTCGAACAGCCTACCACGGGATGTCCTGATCAAACCCGCATGATAAGGTCACCAGAGCATACAGGAGACCAGAACCAGGCATCACATACCCATCATACAGCGACCGGGTGACATGCCTATTGCCCACTATTGCTCCGTTCAGGACCGTTCAGGCAGAGTAATAGTTGCTCACGGACGCTCACCTCATCGGACGATATGTACGGTGCGAGATCCGGATCCGTCACCATATCTTTAGCATCAATGACCCCTGTATACAAGGTCATCCTGACAGGTTCTGCGCAGTCCTCCTCCTCCAATACCACTTTCCGCACTAGGCTTTTGCATCCGTCCGCACCCACCAAGACGTCTGCTTTAATGATCTCTCCAGTTGCAAGAGTCACTGCCGGCTTAGGGTCCTCTTCCGTT